AGAGCAGGGTTGACTTAGCACCGTGCTCATCACAGAAGGCCAAGTGATCCCCAGGAAAGTGGCAGACCCGTGGTAGGGAACCTGGCCATCCACACACAGAAGAAGAGACCCACACCCAGGTTTCTGAACCTGTATTAAAATAAAGTCAAAATGGATCAAAGACCTAGATATTAAAGCAGAAGTTGTGAATCTACTAGAAGGTAAAACATGTAAGACTCTTGAAGACATAGGTGTAGGCAAGGACTTTCAGAACAGAGCCCCATTGCATGGACTGTAGCACCAAAACTCAACAAATTGCAAATTCAAAATCTGCAGAACAAACAAAAAAGCAGTAGAGTGAAGAGATAGCCTACAGGATGGAGAAAAAGATAGCAGACATCTGGAATAGATAAAGAACCCTCCCAAAATTAGACCTCCCCTATAAGATGACCCAGTAGAGAAATGAGCAATTGAATGAGTAGATATTTTTCAAAAGAAGAAATACAAATGGCTAGTAGATACATTTAAACAAAATTTTGCTTAGCATCTTCAGCCATTAGAGAAATGCAAATCAGAAGGACCCTGAGATTCCATCTTCAGAACGAACGGCCATCACCATAAACTCAAAAACGAGACACGCTGGCAAGGCCTTGGGAGAAAGGCATCTTTCTACATCATTGGCAAGAATGTAAACTAGCAAGCCACTCTGGAAAGCTGCATGGAGAGTCTTCTCAAAATTCAAACTAGAAATTTCATTTGGCCCAGCTACAGAGGATCTTTCTGGAAGAACCAAAGATGTCATGTTACCGTGATGCCTGCAGACCCATGTCTGTAGCAGCACAACCCGAAATAGCGAAATCTTGGAAGCAGCCTGTATGTCCGTCAACAGATGAATGGATAAAAGAAATATGATGTTTATGTGCAATGGAATACTCTTCATTCGGAAGGCTAACTTTGAGTCCTTTGTTGGAAAATGGATGTGCCTGGAGGCCATACTTTTATGTGAAATAAATTAGACACAGAAAGTAAAATATTGTATAATTCCTCTTATATGAGAGACCCAAAATACACATAAAGTACAAAACTAAAAGATGATAGAAAACAGGGAGGCTGACTCTACTGCCTTTGAAGAGAGAAAGCAAAAGGGACAAGATACAGTATGCGTATGTAACGGGTTCCCACAGTGCATGTGCTTTTGGATGTAAACATATACTAATATAAACATATACTAGTAAAAAAATCAACGTTTATATTTATATAAAAAATGAAAATGACAAAGCTGATCATTCTCCCCACGAAAACTCCTTAGACATAGTTTGAAGTAAAAGTGATCAAATCTGAAATAGAACAGTGGCTTCCACAAAAAATTTTTGTACCGATTGTCCCAAAGTATTTACTTTAGTAAAAAAAAAAATTCTGTACACACAAGTCGACGATATACATATGGTTATTTTTAAATTTTTACCTCTCTGTGTACTGTGTGCCCACATAAAAAAATATACCCCAAATATAACTTTTGAAAGGATGAAATAAAGGTGAAAGAGGCCGTATTTTAAATAACTCGCTGATCATAATGGCTTACTATCCGCAAATATATGACACACAGCACACACAGAGGATGGACCACGCTGGTGGTATCCACAGAAGTTGCAATGTATTTTCCAGCTGCTTGGATCGTTTATGTTTTGCGGCTGATGTTTTAGACTTGCTTAGCAGCGCTCCCACTGTAGCCCATGGTCCGTTCCTCCTTCAACACGGTCCTACATTTCCTGACAAAAGCGGGAAAGTTCCATGGAAACTTCCCTTTTCTGTCTGTCCATCCGAAATTAGGAGGGTGGGGAAGGTGCCTTGGGACACCTCCTTCCCTTGTCTCCTCAGCCAACATTACTGCATTCTGGGGATTTTCCTGCTCAGTAGCGGTCAGCTCGTGGCTGCTTCTCTTTGTTGCCACCTACCTCCTGCCATCTGGCTTCTTTTTCCTCCCATTCCTCCTCAGCCCTCAAGCCCAAGGTCACTAGAGGTCACTGCCTCAAGACTTCCGCCCCGGGTCATTTCTGTGGCACCTAGGCCCTTCCTTCATGGCTCTTACCATAATTTCATTTTTGTTTTTTTGCTTCAAGTGTCTTTGGCATCTTACGTGGCAAGTTGCTTAAGGCAGGGTCCAAGCCTGCCCTGGGAGTGTGTGTGTGTGTGTGTGTGTGTGTGTAGTATGCGTGTATACACATCCAACACGCAGGTTACACAATCTCCATAAACATTTGATGCTCACACATAAGGTAGTTGTAGTCTCCTCTATTTTCCAGACGAGGACACTGAAAGGCAGGCTGAGTGGTGGATGAGTGGGGGTGGTAGTCTCACTCCCAGGCCTTGCAGACGGCAGCATGCACATTCTTTCCAGCAAGTCTAGACTTCTCCTCTAGGACCTGCTTGGGCCAAGGTTTGAGGTTTGAGGTTCCATCTTGCTCGCTGGGGCCAGGCCAGCTCTCTATAGAAATTCTTCTCCTGAACTAGTTTGCTTTGTCCTTCCAGTCGGAGTGAACATACTTAACCGGTGTTGTTCTGGACAGCATCACCAAGCGCAAGTCCCTGAATCCAACCCAGCTGCAGTGGATTGATGCTGAGAGGAAGAACCTGTGCTACTGCTCCTGAATCTTAAGGCCCTGCAGGGGACCTGCGCACACCTCCTAGTGAGCCAATGGCTACCGACTAGCCAATGGGATTTAGATGTTGGCAAAGGCTTTTTCTGACCTCTAAGGCCCCACCCACTTTGTGCCCCACCCACTCTGTAGCCAAGCACAAGAAGACCATGCCTCGGCTTCAGAGAAATCCTAACTGTTCCAATTTGCACTTGCTGGCCCTCTTCCTGGTAGATCTCAGCGTAACTTCGGCCGAGAGCCAAGAATTTAAGGGTCTTCATTGCTATGAGTAATTTCATGAGTTGCTGATGGCTAATTAGGGGCGATTACAGTTAAGAAGCTTTACTTTCTTAATACTCCCAGAAAGGGCTGGTGGTAACTTTTTTAAAATCTGGATTCTTTTTTTTTTTTTTTCCCCTGTAAGTGGGCTGGTCTGATTCTCAGGCTCGTCTTTTTCATGAATCCCTGTAACTTATCTCCCCACCCCAAGACCGAGGAAGAATGCAGAGAGCAGTGAGTTTAGGAAACTGCCTTTGGGGGAGGGGCCCTGGCAAACCGCGCAGCGCAGCAGCTTGGCTATTTGTCTTCCCTGCAAGGAGGGGAGGCGGAGCAGCGGCTGGGCCTGCCCTGTTCTCAGGTTCCATCGGCTGCAGCCACAGCGCCCTTCCCCAGCTTTGTGATGCTATTTATAATTTGTCTTTGAAACCATTAGCTGGCTTGATGATGTTTGGAGATGTCGTTTAGCGATGACGTCTGAGTGGATCGCTCTTTGCAGGCAGGAGGCTTGGCTTCCCTCCTTTTACCGGGATACCAGACTTTCAGGGTGCTTGACCTCTTGCCTAGCCATATCATTGGCACTACCAATAACCGTTGGTCACTTGGTACCCGCCTCTGGCTCTCATGTTATCTGCATTCCTGATTTAATCTTGACAGTGACCCACAGTAGGGGTGTGTATGTGCGCGCGTGTGTGTGCACGTTTGTAGTGTTGGGGAGCAAACCCAGTGCCTTATGTATGCTAGGCAGTTGCTGGACCCCTGAGCCATTCACCTACCCTAATCAGCCCTTTTAAAAGCAATTTTATTGAGATATATTTCTTGTTTTGTTTTTGTTTTGTGGCCAGCTCAGTCCACCCTGGGGGCGTGGCATGTGGTGCTGGGGATCCAACTGTGGTCCCTGCGCATTTGCCTAAGCTTGCCTAAGCAGGTGCTTTAGACTGCTGAGCTATCTCACCGACCCCTGAGATATATTTCTTATGCTTTATTTATTTATTTTTGTGGAGCCGGGGATTGAACTCAGGCCCTTGTGCTTGCCAGGGAAGTGCTTATTCAACTGAGCTATCTCCCCAGTCCCTCGTATGCCCTAATTTCCATCAATATATCATATACAGTGGTACCTCGGTTCCCAAACTTAATTCATTCCATGATGCTGGGGAAAATGGCAGCATTCATGTTCCTCATCCAATGCAGAATTCTCTAAAGGAAGCAAAATTTTTCCCAATGCTCTGTCTGTGAACCAAATTGTTCGCAAAAAGAAGCATTTGTGAATTGAAGCATTACTGAACAATTTGGTTCATAAATAAAAGGGTCTGGCAAAATGTTATCTTTGTTTGCAAACTATATCTGGTGGCAGTCAGGATTGAGGCCCTCTTTCCTGCACAAACACAGATATGGCCGTCTTTTCCCAAACTGTGGACCAAAGTTAAATTCCTGAACCAAGGTACTGCTGTGATTCAATGGCTTTTAGTATTTTTACAGCGTTGTGCATTTATCACTATTAATTTTAGATCATTTTTGTCACTCGATGAAGAAATATTGAATCTTTTCATTAACTCCTCTCTGTCACCCAGCCCCAGGTGACCAGGAATCTACCCTGTAGGTTCGCCTGTTCTGGTCATTATCTATACAAGAAATCCTTTCAGTTCTGCTCTTTTGTGTCTGGCTTTTCTCACTATAATATTTTCAGGTTGTAGCCCATGTTGTATGAGGGCTTCATTTCTTTTTATTGTTAGGGAGTATCTATACCCATAGGGCACCATTGGGGAAACCAAGGTACTGCACGTGCCCCGTGACTTTCTGGGCTTAAGTAGTCTGGAATGTAGGGAGCTGGATTTCCAGCGCTGCTTTGCCTCATGCCAATTGCCCCATCCAAATGGAGTCATGGGTAGTCCTCCTGAAAATACTGAACGGACCATCTTCTGGTACGCTGCTGAATGAATGTCCTGTGGACTTGTTACCTCGTGCTCCTGTGCAACAGCATAGCTGGCTAGTGGCCCTTTTGGTTTAGTATCTTTCCTTTTCCCCTTCTGGCTTGTTGATCTGGTTTGGACTCTAGAATGTGCCTAAGCAAGTGATGCTAAAAATAACATTGTTTGTTTCTGTAGGAGTTGAACGCCCCTCCCACCTGCAGAGCATTCCCGTGGCCTCTGAGGAGCCCTTGCCTTAGCCCGGCCCCGTGGCACGATGGCTTCTCATTTCGTGGGCTTTCTCGGGTAAGTAAAGAACCTCTTTAAAGGAAAACAGGGAGCGGATGCAACTTAGTGGTAGAGCACGCATTTAGCTTGCCGGAAGCTCTGGGTTTGAGCCCCAGCACACAGGAGAAACAGAACCCAAAAGACAAAAACAGGAGAATATGGAATTTGATGTTTGCGCTGGACTGTACAGTTTCTTATAGTGACTGGTCTTCAGGGTGTGCCTCTCAGTGGAGTCCTCATAGAATACACACAGGTGGGCAATGGTTTCCAAAGTCCAGGAGCTCTGTGCTGTAGAAAGGAGACCCAGATAGTTGGTCTTCTATGCCAAGCTCTGCTGTTTTCTGGGAAACCTTCTTTAGACTTGAACCAGAAAAGCATTTTTAAAACTAAAAATAGGACTAAATCACTGGGTGTGCACTATTGTTTGTATGATAGATCTGAACAACACTTAAAAGTATTGTACAGTGGTGACTGTACAGATCAGGGCTTAACCCATCAGGGGTTAGGAAAAGATGCTCTCTCAGACCCCTTCTGCTCAGGACGTTTGTGACTTTCACCTGCATTTTAAAATGTGGTCCTTATGTCAAGGATACATGATAACTCATCAAGTGCTATCGCGCCTATTATGTAGATCAATAACTCGAGGGTCAAAGAACTAAAGTCATGCAGGTGGCCCATTCCTCAAACTATTGACTTATTTATTTGTTTGCCTACTTACGTGACTTCAGGTTGGCCCTGAGTTCACTGTGGAGCCCAGACAGTGGAGCTTGAAGCGATCCTCCTGCCTCTGCCTCCTGCATGCTAGTATTTGGGGTGTGGGCCACCACACCTGTCATTACCTCCAACTTTTTCAGAAGCTGACAGACACTTAAACATTCCTTGATCAAACTTCTCTAAAATCTCAATATGTCACTAAACAATGATAGCATTTCATATAAATTTAGTCTAAGTTCCAGGGTACAATATCTGTATCCGCTGAGATAATTGAGTTGGCTGTGATAAGCACCAAAGTTGAAAGTTAGGACTTCTGAATAAGAGCTTGGACCACTCCCTAAGCAATTCACTTATTTGTACTTATTTTAGCTCCACTAGTTTAAAACACTCCTGGTATATACAGGTAAGCGCTGAATTATTTTCCTTGGTAACAATCTTGTGGTGAGATTGATCTTGCAGTCTCGGGATGGTCTTTGAAGAAATGAGTTCACAATCTGAACAGAGGGAAGGGTAGGAGAATGTGCTGTTTCGAAGTTGAATCAAGAGGGGCCGGGGAGATAGCTCAGTAGAATAAGCGCTTGCCTGACAGGCGCAAGGGCCTGAGTTCAATCCCCGGTTCAGGAGAAAAAAAAAAATCAACAAAGTTGAATCATAGGGAACATATGATTGTCTTCACTCCCAACAAGTATATGTTAGCCTCAAATGCCCAGAACTTACAATAAAAAGTAAAAGGTCTGTAATGTGTTGCTGTGGCTGTGTCACAAGCAATGGTCCAAGCAGGGGTAGCGCATGCTGCTGGGCCCATGCCCGGCATATCATCAGTGTAGCACCAGAGTATGTGTTTTTGTACAACATGGCTTGTATAATCTTGCATGAACAAACACACAGAGACTACAGGCATCTTCATCGATACGCAGTCACACGCATGCCAGAGATGGTCGGAGAGTCAGGGAAAGCTTTCTTCTGAGGCCTCTGTGCTGTCTAACCATCGACAGAGTGGTCTGGGTTAATATTGGAACCCCTTCAGGGTGAATATTTCATGTGTAATATTCGTGGGTGAATTTTTAAACCATAGTTCTGTGGGAATTTTTTATGTATTTGGTACAGGGTCTCACTATGCAGATTGGACTCTTTCTGTTTTCAGCCTCTCCTGCGCTGGGATTACAGATGTGCGCCACCACGCCCGGACTCAGTGGCTGCTCAGTGCACCCTAGGGGTGGGGCTGGCGCAGCATGTTGGGCTGGGGATCGAACTCCAGTCCCTGCGCTTGCCTAAGCAGGCGCTTAGTCTACTGAGCTATCTTGCCGGCTCTTAATCCATAGTTGAGAAGGTGTTTCAAAGCACAAAATATACATCTAGTTTGCAGAAGCCCTGATGTGCTGCTTGCTATAGCAGAACAGGACAGTGAAAAATGCGGTTGGATCCCTGGGTCACTCCAGTACCACAGCGAATGATAGCCCTCAGGCCCAGCGCACACAAAAGAGCAGAGGCCACTGAACTGGACCCAAAAGACCAAGCAGAGGTGTAAACCTAGCTGTCATCAGAAAGGCTCCTAAGAACACTTGAGAATCCTCAAAATCGTGGCCTCCCAGGCTGCGCAAGGAGGGTGTTTCTTGGGAGAAACCCTTTTTCAGAGCTGTCCTCGATGCCCTGGATTTGGAACTGATGCCCCTACAGATGACCTCTTTTGTGGTCCAAGTACGGTGTGGGCTAAGGGGAGGATCTCCTTTTGAGGGGCTGCCTGGTGGGCTCACCTCCAAGCTGTGCCTTGTTTTAGAGAAATTGCCACAGACTAGGTGCTCGCAGGGCAGGGGTAACAGGAGGCGTGGACTTGTGCCTCTCCTGTGGTAGTTCTAGAGTCTGGGCAGCTCTCCGGCCGCTGGGTCTTGCAGGGGCCGTGGTTTGGATGGTGCTGCTCAGCAGGATGGTCAGAGTTGGAGAAAGGAGGAGCAGAGCACAGTGGGTCATCCCATGCTAGATCTCAACCGGACATTGCACCAAATCCTCTTCTTCATAAACCAAGCACACAGGAACCCCATTGCCCATCTGTTCTTAGGGCTATGTAAATATATTTTAACCAGAAACAAACAAATGAAGAAAGGCTCAGAGTGTCTTTTCTTTAAATGCTTTGAAAAATGTTCTAGGGAAACAGACCACAGTTACTTTTTCTTTTCATATTTGGTACAGGGTCTCACTACGCAGATTGGACTCATAGTGATCCTCCTGTTTTCAGTCTCACAAGTGCTGGGATTACGGGCACGTGCCACTGTGCCTAGTCTCAATCTCAGTGCTCTCCAGGGGCAGGGCTGGCACAGCATGCTGGGGATCGAACACCCGGTCCCTTAGCCTGCCTAAGCAGGTGCTTTAGTCCACTGAGCTATCTGGCCAGCCCCACAGTTGCTTTTAAGAGTGAGAGGTCTTCGACAAAATTGGGAGACGAAAAACACATACCAGGAGATTTCTAATACTTATCAAAGCGCATAAAGATCAATTGGAAAAATGGAAGGATTTTTCTGATATAGAAAAAGCAGGTTGCATGAGAAGTTAGCCATAGATGAAAAAAAAAAAAAAAAATTAGGGGATTCACAACTCCAGTATGCAGAGATTCAGTCTAAAAATCTCTTCCTCACTTTTGCCTAGCCACAGAGGATCAGAAAGCCAGCTCTCTTTTTGTGGGAAGAGACAGCGGAGTCCCCGGGTCTTAACGCAGCAAGCGTGCCTCGGCCTGGTTCAGCGTCTGTCCTCATCAAAAGGAATCCCAGGCAAACTCAGTAGCAGAAAAAGGCAATAAGATTTTCACTCTCCAGGAGCTGGTTAGCAGGTTGTTAAATCTTAGATAAACTCAGGAAACATGAAAAAATTCATGGAGACTACAACCCATTTAGACCAAAGGGTGGACCCAGACCTGATGAAGCCGTGTTTGTCATCTGTGACAAATTAGAGAGGAAATGGCGCTCAGTGATACAGAAGTGCTTATATTTCTTCAAGACCTGCTCCAAGCATGCACTTTTTTTTTTTTTCTGAAGCATAGTTATGCCTCGATTTGTTTGCTCAGTGACTTATGGAAAGAAAACACAACTTTCTCATTGCAAGCGGGGCAGTAGTGACGAGGGCTACCCAACTCAGCCGGCGGCAAGCGCTCCACAGCTGGGTGCGGGATCGGCCTCTCTTCCCTGCCGCTCAGCGTGCTTCAGTGGAGCTGACATATTTTATGTTTCCAATGAAAACATGGAAGAAAACAAAACTATTAAATGCCAAAGAGGTGGCAAAAATGGCAGGAAATAAAATTGATTTGGCGCGTTTTCATTTCGAACGGTAGTTTTTGAAGAAATACAGATGTAATTAGAGTGATTACAGAGTGAGTTGGTGATTTTTATAGATCTTTGCAAGGGGAGCTCTGGATCATTTTAAGAGTTTTACTGTTGATGGCCTTAGGTCAAGTGTCTGGTTTTAGTCTTTGAAACTTTAAAGTTTTTTCCTTTCCTTGACATATACCTCAGTAAAGTATTATTACTTTAATGCCTGTCAGCTATTCCACTTAGAAATATAACCAGAAGGGAAGGAGGGAATAGGCAGAGAGGAGTGGAAGAGAGGAAGGAGGAGAGAAATGGGCTAAGGCAACGTGTTTGCTTGTGTGAGAGAGAAAATTCAAAGTAGTGATACCTGAATTGTGAGCAGTTAGTGGAATTGACTTCTACAAAGGGAGAGAAATACGTGATCATTGGAAGAGTCCTGGGGTCAACCAATATCCCTTGGCCAGATCAGGAAAAGGGGAGAAAGAGGAGGAGGAGAATAGGGTGGAAGGAAGAGAGTACTTGGGGAGGGAAGTGGGAGAGGGGACAACAGTAGCCATCGAGGGCTGGGCCTCAAGTATGGTACCTCAGGGTATTAATAAAGCAGGATTTGGGTAGCTGGCACTACTCAGATGATATGCACTAAGTGTGTGTTAAAAATTGAATGAATAAATTAATAATTACCTGTTAAGTAAAAGAAATAAAGTCAACAGCTTCTTTTTCCTGCTGGTTGGTTAGCTAATAGTTACATAAATAGGTGGAAGCATGGAAACCGTTCGGAATGACACACACACCTTCAACAGTCCGTTTTTAACTTGAAACACATGCATAGCCACTTGCCAATTGTTTGATGAACGGCCAGAGCCTTGTCCTGAAGGCACGAAGCCCTGATTGTCTCTCTTGTGTAACCCACACCCACAAGCACTGTCTGAGGTTTCCTCTTGTGTTTCTTGAAATCAGAGTGAGAATTTCAAGACATTTGCAAAGCAATCTGAGCACAGACCAATTCTC